GTTCTAATTTCATCTCTATCGAATTTGAATATCAGAATAGTTGATATAGTTCTGATTCAATGGGTTAGGTCTACTTACCTTTTCTTTTGTTGATTTTGAATCTTTCCAATTTCTTTTGATTGGATTTCCAATTTCTTTTGATTGGAATAATAGAAAATAGGAATATCTGGCAATTAAAGGAGATGACTTATCATTATTCATTATAATGAAATAATAAAAAAATGTTCTACTTTCTAACTAGAATTACTATACTAACTAGAATTACTATATTCGACTAGAATTACTATATTCGAATTCATTAAAATGATAACGATAATTTATTAGAATTCAGAATTCCATTTTCTAATTTCTAATGAAATTCTACGATTCCTTAGTTTTTTTATTACAAATATCAACAATATCTCTATTCTCTCTTCAAATATGAATACTACCGCTGGAGTTTTATGAAAAAAGAAAAAAGCCCCTTATCGGATTTGAACCGATGACTTACGCCTTACCATGGCGTTACTCTACCACTGAGTTAAAGGGGCCCCGTTTGGTTGAATTCCTGAATAAGGAACTAGCCACTATGAGTCTAGTGCATATATTTATTACTGCATATACTTATTATATGTTATAACTTATTATATGTTATATGATTATATGAAATTTATATGAAATTAGAATATATGTATATAGATACGTTTTATCTGCATAGCGGCTCATTAAGGAACAAGAAATTGGATTTACCTAGTGAGTATAGTATAGGTAAAATGGGTTTTTTGATATTGGATTTTCTAAATATCAATGTAATGAATTATTTCCAAATCGATTCTAATTGAATTGATCCTCATCCTAACGAAATTCATTTGATTGATACATGTATCCACCAATTCAACATAGATACAAGATTTTTCATCGAATCGTTGATAAATGGATTCAATTTGTCTCTCAACCAAATTCTTATCGAAAAACAATTTTTCAATAACTTGTTGATCCCTATCCCTCTTCCCGGATTTCCAGATTGATTATCGTTTTTTAATTTCCCGGCTTAGTGGGAGATAGAAATATGCCCACCGAATCTTTCTTAACAATGAATGAAGGTGAAAGAAATGAAGTTTAACCCCCTCGCCTTTTCTTTTCCGGCAAACCAATCATTCTCCGAAAGGCCCCTATCTATCTCTCTTTCGTATTACTTTTTTTTCTATTTTTAGAATTATAGAGTGGGGATTGGAATGAACAATTTCAAAATGAAAATGATGAATCCAAAAATTCTATGGAATTCTGAAAGACGGAAAGATCCTTCTGATCGAGTCATATCATTCCATTCCATTATATTGACAATTTCAAAAAACTGTTCATACTATGAACATAGTATAATGGCGGTCGGGCAAGTATGCCCCCATCGTCTAGTGGTTCAGGACATCTCTCTTTCAAGGAGGCAGCGGGGATTCGACTTCCCCTGGGGGTAGGGTACTACGAAAGGAAGTTGATCGTGGATTATCAATAAGGACTTAAATTGATTTTTCCTGGGTCGATGCCCGAGCGGTTAATGGGGACGGACTGTAAATTCGTTGGCAATATGTCTACGCTGGTTCAAATCCAGCTCGGCCCAATAATTCGCCGATCCACCATGAAATGATGTAACCATTTGTTGTTCTCCGGAAATGCCCAATGAGCTTTGATACACAAGAATAAAAATCTGCTACATCCCTACCACTATTTATTTTTTTACGTATTTTTTCCACAAATTAAGATCTTGCTAATGATCTAGATTCATATCAAGATCTGTAAGTATAAAGTCTAAATAAAAAGAGACTCTTTTTTATTTTCATTGATTTATTGAAAGATTTATTTTCAATCGATTTGGAAATAACAAACAGATTACTAGTAATCCGTGTAGATCTCGCTAAAGTGCATATCCATATAAAAAAAGAATATCAATATATTAGTCCCGCCTCCGCCAGTTAGAACAAGACAATTCTAATCTAAAATCGAAATAGAAAAGGTTTGAATGAAATCGTAAGAATATGCATGCTGTACATTTTTTTTCCTGGGATTGTAGTTCAATTGGTCAGAGCACCGCCCTGTCAAGGCGGAAGCTGCGGGTTCGAGCCCCGTCAGTCCCGACGGATAGAAATCCAATAAAAAAATACATCAATTCATTTCTTCTGTGAAAGGGAGTCAAAATAACAAACATAATCTCATTCCTAACAGGGATCTCCCCTTTTTTTCTTTTTTTCGTTTCACATTTCTCATCAAACCAACAGGGTAATTTCCATTTCTTCAACTAATACTGATTGATGGAAAAGAAACATATGTGGATTAGCACAATTATTAGTAGCCTCATATTCAGGATTCCAAGAGAAGGAGATACCATACTACTAGACCTGGCTTTTTCGATTACTCCTGATCTGTGTAATGAAATAGAGTACTATAGAATATGTTTACAGCGAACACACACACACAAATGGAATTTGCACGATACAAAAAAAAAGGAGTTCCTTTGATTTTGATAGAACACTTTAGGATTCAAAGTTTATCCTTTGCTGGCTCCGATTTTGTATAATCTCAAGTACTAAGTACCTATTTCAATTCCTAATTATTTGCATTTTAAACAATCTATCTCATTCCAATTTCACACTGAACTTTTGATATATGTTTATCCTATTACTAATTGAAGGATGAGAATATTAAAAAAAAGTAAAGGAATTTTTGATTGGATCAGAAATCCATTTTTGAATTGGGTATGGATAAAAGATCTTCCTATGTTATACTATTCAATTCTTGACGATGAATCGATTTGATAGTTCAGATATTGTTATTCATGATATTGATCCGATTCGATATCATCGAGATGTAATTTATACCATTGAATTTACCGACGAAAGATTTATCATCTCTATGGGATTAAATCCCGAGTTATTGCGAATTAAAGAGAAATCTAACGATGAGATTATGGAAGTAAATATTCTCGCATTTATTGCTACTGCACTGTTCATTCTAGTTCCTACTGCCTTCTTACTTATAATTTACGTAAAAACGGTAAGTCAAAGTGATTAATTTGACTTAAACTTTACTTCTTAGTTCTTATCAATGCAATGATGGAAGAAAAAATGAAAAAGGATTTCAATTTTGCGTCTTACTCTTAAATGAAATGATCGGACTAGAATCAGCAGTATTCTATGAAATCTGATAGTATGGTAGAAAGAAAAAAATCTATTTCTTTCTACTATACTATCTATTATTGTAGTGTATAAAGTTTTACTCTATGAAGATAGAGGTTTAATATGAATCGATTTTCAATATCTATCTTCATATATATAGAACATCAATCACATATATGTAATGCACATAGCGTCCCAATTTTTTTGTTTATTTGTATTGGTTCCAATCAATCTGAAATAATCAAAAGGCAACTCTTTTTCGTCCGATTCGAATTTCTAGATTTCTGATTATTTTCAAGACCAATCCCGGTATCATATTAAAAAAATCAAATAATCTTTTTTTTTTATTTTTAGCATTCCAAAGAAGTAATTGATTAAGAAGAAGTAATTGATATTGATTAAATTAAATAGTTAACAGATGATCCAGGGGTTTTCTATGGGAAACTTTTTCCTATTTCGAAAATTTTAGTAAAACCCAACGGATTTTTAACGTTTGAACTATGATATGAAATGAAAACAGAAATCCAATTTTGAAACTCAAATAAATAAAAAACCAAATAATAAAACAAGCGATAAGCACGTAATATGTGACTCGCCTAAGGCAACGTCAATATCTTATTATGTGTAGTATCTCCTTAGACAACTACTACGTCTATCTTGTTTCCTATAGAAAGCGTGTATCCGCGCTTAATAACTAATAAAAAAACGGGTTCCGCGGTTCCTCATTGTCCATATATAACTTTGGTAAGAGCCAGTTCATCGAAATTTTAGAAAGAATAAAGAATTTGGTAAGTTTCCGATTATTTGTATTACCTTGACTTTCCAAATACGAACATGGGGAAAAGTCAAATATTTGTTTAATTGAAAGAGTATTTTCTTTTTCTATATTATCCATAGAATACATTATTCCATTCGAATACACTATAATTCCGAAATGCAGATATTTTTGAATTCCATTTAGAAATTGAATTAATGAATTAAATAGAAAAATAAAATTTCAGAACCCATCTATAAGGATACAGTTTGATTTTCGTTTTTTCCCTCAACTCAATTAGTAGTATTTTTAGAGTCCACTTCTTCCCCATACTACGAGGGAAAGGGAAAATGTAAAGACTACCATTAAAGCAGCCCAAGCGAGGCTTACTATATCCATGTAAATTATGTCTCCTATTTCTATCAATATGAAGGAATTATTTCATTTTTGTTATTGTTCACTAATAATAAATAAATAATAGTGGAATCACTGGGACAGAGTCAAAAAGGGATTCTGATTCTGGCCTAACATCATTGACCAAAGAATCCAATAAATCCAATTATAACATCTAACAAGTTCTTATATGATTTTATGATTTCTAGTATAATCAGAAAACATTAAGTACAAACAAAATATCCGGAGACACCCTTGGAAGTATTAAGGGAATGAATGTTACTAACAGGTAGGAATAATAAGACCTATGCTTTTTTTTGTTGCCCTCGATTTCATTAAGTAAAAAATATATATATATATATATAGAATCAAGATAGATCACTTCGCATACTCTTATTTTCATTTAATCTAATCCTTACCGTCTCCCGATTGTCTCTGTAAAACAATCGGAAGACAGCCGAATAAATTCTTTCACTCGGGGTTGCCGAAAAGAAAGAATTCTTTTTTCTTTTTAATTAAATTTGAATTTTGAAAATATTAAATATTATTAATTTATAAATATTTAAAATTTTCAAAATATTAAGATTTCTATTTCATTTTTCAATTTATTAGAATATTTAATTATAATATTCTTTTTGAATAAAATGGAATATGAATATAATGAATAGAATATTATTTATTTAATATATTTAAAATATTGAATTTAT